GGCTTTGGGCTTTCATTCTCTCTTCTTTACTTGGAAACACATTCTTTCTGTATCTATTTGCTTCATTGACTGAAGATCATCTTCATCCTGTCTCTACTTTGTCTATCTTTGACCTTGATCGTCCATTCTTTCCGCTAGCCGGTATCTACTCGTCCAAACAGCTTGCCCAACAAACTTACAGCGTGTTTCGACCACCACATCGTCCGATATGCCTTCCTCAACACTTACACTCCTCGCCGGTCTCGCTGGAGCCGCGACCGTGGCTGCCCACGGCCATGTAACGAACATCGTCATCAACGGCGACTCCTACAGCGGTTTCCTCCCCAACATCTTCCCCTACCAGGCGAACCCACCCATCGTTGCGGGCTGGACTGCTGCCAACACCGACAACGGCTTCGTTGGGCCCGAGTCTTTCGCCTCTGCGGACATCATCTGCCATAAGAGCGCTACCAACGCCGAGGGCCATGCGGTGGTAGCCGCCGGCGACAGCATCTTTGTCCAGTGGGATACCTGGCCGGAATCTCACAAGGGTCCTGTCATCGACTACCTTGCCAACTGCGGCGCCGCTGGGTGCGAGTCTGTCGACAAGGCCGCCCTCGAGTTCTTCAAGATCGACGAAGCCGGCCTCATTGACGGTTCCCAAGCCCCTGGCAAATGGGCCTCCGACCAGCTCATCGCCAACAACAACTCCTGGATGGTCAAGATTCCGGCCAACATCGCACCCGGCTTCTACGTCCTCCGCCACGAGATCATCGCCCTGCACTCCGCCGGCCAGCAGAACGGCGCCCAGAACTACCCGCAGTGCTTCAACTTGCAAGTCACCGGCGGCGGTAGCGCCACTCCTGCCGGCGTGAAGGGTACCGCGCTGTACACCCCCAACGATGCCGGCATCCTCTTCAACATCTACACCCAGCTCGCGTCGTACCCTATCCCCGGCCCTGCTTTGATCGCCGGCGCATCCGCTGTTGCCCAGGGCTCTTCGTCCATCAAGGCCTCTGCCACCGCCATCACCGGCTCCGCTGTCGCCACTGCAGCTCCTGCCCCGGCGACGACCACCGCTGCCGCTCCTACTACGCTTGCTACCACCACTTCTGCTGCCGCCGCGCCGACTACCGCGGCTGCTGCCCCGACGACTACATCCTCTGCTGCCGCGGTGCTGCCGACTACTACATCCGCCGCTGCCGTGCAGCCGACCGTCGCCGTTCCTGACTGCGCGGGGACCGTCACCGTCACAATCACCGAGGGTGCTGCCGCCGCGCCTACGACCGAGGCTGTCGTTGTGCCCACCACCACTGCGGGCAGGCCCGTCAGGCCCAACAACAAGGGCAAGGGGCGCACGCACCCTCGCCAGTTGATCAGGAACTAGAGGGCGACGTAGAAGCCAGGGTGTTGGATAGGGTGGCGTCAGTGTAGGATTTATATCCCTGCTCGAGAAGCAGGGAGGGAGGGATATTCGTTTCTTGTATACTGTACTATATATGCTTCTCTTGTGAGCTCCGCTTGTCGGATGTACATACACTACTTGTTCTATTCATCTTCTGGGGTGTCCCGGTGCAGTTGTGAGTGGGTGAGTATAGTGTGACGAAGTGAAGAAGAGCGCGGGTGGCTGTTTGTGTTGTGTTGTCGGTCTATCAGCGATATGCCTGGCTCTGTTGGGTGGCCTTCCAACGCCTTGGGCGTCATTTGAAGTTCTTTACAGTACAGGTGAAGTTTCCTATGTTTCTGAGGTTTTTTGCAATGCAGTAGGCCAGCGGATACGCCCGGTATCAGACCTCATGCACCACCCCCCCCCCCCCAGCTAAACCGCAGTATCCTCACACATTCCAACAATAACCAAAAACCGAAGCTCAGAGATTGGGAATCCTTCTACCAACAGGCATGGGAGCTCCCAAGTGCCTTTTTGTCAATTCAGTCCCAACACCACCCCCGATGCCCAATTCAGCACCGCAACCCCCTCCATCTCGCGTGATACCAACCAACTGCCCAGGTGGCCGGCCCGGGTAATCTCCCTCGTGCTCAGCGCAAGTCAACAAAGCCCCTTTGTTACCGTCCATCCCATCCAACCAATCACAATCCACCACCTGACTCTCGAACAAAGCAATTGTCAGCAAAACCCAACAAACGCCATTGACAATTCTGCACATGCGCCGAAAAGGATCTATCGCATTTAAATACTTACCCATTCACCCATTCACCAAGCAGTTCGACTACACGCTACGCAACGCATCCCTCCCTCCCCTCTCAGCCGTGTCTGCCCCCGCCTGGATTACTGTCAGCCCTCACTCACGTCTTGTCAGACCGGATTGCAGGTTTGAGTAGGGAGATAGTTTACAGGTGAGCGCCGCTCTGTCCAAAATGGTGCCCAACATGCCATCCAATCCCTTTAGCATGGAACTGCTCTCTATGCCTGAGCTCTTGCACGGTCACATTGTTGAGCCCGAGACAAACCCCTTCGCATCCCCCTTCGATCTTGACTCAGATTCCAATTCGGAATACGAAACCGACTCGGAATGCTCAGACTCAGACTCCTCCACAGAAGCATCCTCCACTTCAGGGGAGTCAACTGCATCAGTGTACTTGCCGTTCCCGGGTCACCTGCAGGACTTGGAGCCAGACTCCGAATTCTCGCTTAGCGAGGCGGACAGAAAGTTCCTCGCCGAGAGCTATGCGCTGCTTGATACACGGAGTGCTCCCTCGGACGATACCTTCGGGGCAGAAACACAGTGTACACTTGGCATGGTGCGTTTCCCCATCCGGACGGTGACTGGGAATGTTGTTATTGTTTCCATTGACCACAGTGAGTTGTTTGACGATGATCTTGATGATCTCTTTGAGGGAAATAGGCGGGATGCTGATGCCTCCGAAGTTCCGCGGGAGCTGCAGATGGTCTTTGCCCCATCGATCTTAGATGAAGTGTCCTTGAGGTAAGTCGAACTGCAAGTGTTGCTAACCGCGAGAGTGAACAATACGAAAATAAAACCTTTTCTATCCCAACATTGTACCCATCGTCAGTGACATAACATGTGATGAACCCCAGTGACCCCTGCCCAAAACGAAACCCACCAAAAAAAAAGAAAAAGAAAAATGGCAAAAATGATGGCAATCGCCGGGAATTGAGCCCGACGTGGGGGTCGAACCCACAACCTTGAGATGATCTCGTGAGGACCTGGAAAGTATCTCCCTAAGAGTCTCACGCTCTACCGATTGAGCTAGCCGGGCGTGTGCCGGGTTACTGGATGTGTGTTCCTGAAGAAAATTTGCATTTTGTTGTGGGTTTGGGTGGGACCTTGAATGCCGAGATGCTCCACCGGTCCCGGGCCGGGCCGTGGCTCAACCTCGGGGTCCCCTGTTGTTTTGCTCAGAAGACAAGGTTCGAGGGGAAATGACGGGAGGGTGAAATCGGATGTGTTATTGAGAAGGAAGGCTGTCAGGGCAGGTCGAAGGTGAGAATGCAAGCATTTCAGCCGTGGACGATGACAAAACTGAGTGAGAATACCGATCCATTGTTGCCTATCAGTTCGCTCAATTTTGAAGTTTGAATCCAACTCCGTGAGCTGGGCCTCCTCCTGTGTTGTTCTCTCCACTGCCGCCACGCCCTTTGCCCCCTTCCGACGCTTGCCCGGGATCTTGAGCGTGAAAAAGTCATGGAAACAACTCCGCTCCGGCTTTACCATGTCCGGCCTCGTGGCCGCCATCGCCTCGCGATGCATCTCCTCCAGGTTGGCAGGTGTCGTCCCCGTCCCCTCGGCCTCGGGCATCATGTCGTTCGGGGAGTGAGTCAAAAAAGCCAGAGATCGGCCAAATAGAAATGCATGGGAATTCCAATCTGGATGACTCTATCTTGATGGCTGCCATCCCAATTGCACATTTTGATGGCATCACCAGTTGACCTCAGATTCGGGGCTGGGTGGCCCCCCTGCTCCATGCTCTCGGGCCAACTCGAACTCGAGGATGTCCAGCGGTGAGGGGGTTCCAATCAGGCGTCTGAGGTTCCAAATTGTGTGAAGATAAGATCAACCGCAGCCAAAGATCTAGCCCCCGATGCCTTCAGTTGCCAATTCATCGCTACGAATTCCTATGTCTATCCGCCCTAGATGCCTGGCAGGCCATGAAGGTATTGCGCTCTGCGTCGCGAGGGCAGTTGAATGCAGTTTTCTACCCCACCCAACAGCCGCCACCTCGAGGATCAACGGCTTGAGATCCTGCTGGCAGGCATTCTTCATGTGTGTTCGGCCCTCCTTGACAACCACATGGGCCATCAGGATGCATAAAGACGTCTCTAATAGGTAGGTCGTTTTTGGCCCTTTGCCCTGAACAACAGGTCTCTCTGTCTCTCACTAAGGTGTTCTTTCCAAACCCTTTACCCCTGATAGCAGTCAACAATACACTGATCACCAAGGTAACCACACATCTGTTCAGGTCAACCTGCTTCTTGACGCTCCTTAAGAGCTTGCCAGGACGTCTTTTTTTCCCCTGGGTATAGAAATCTCCATGACCAGGACTCCCATGAGGTACTTCAGATCTGCATCAGACATGAGGAAATGCTCCCGGCTCGCTGCGCCGAAAGATGTCCGCGAAGTAGACTGCACAAGACTATATGACCTGCAAGTGACTTTTCTTGGCTGCCTGGTTTGACACTTTGGAACTTGGGGCAAGGCGTGAGAACTCTGCAAAATTGATCACTCCGACTTGTGCTGCACACAAATTCTCGGCCTCCTTTAATGTGAGAGCTCTTGATGTATCTGAAGTGTATGGCGTTAGCTGGTGTTTGATCCTGTCACACCGTTTGACTGCGAGGGCTCTTGATCTCTCTGGTTGTGATGTTGTTCCAAGGTTGTGGTGTCTGTCCAAGTGCGATGTTGACGTGGACCCTAACCCTCCCCAAAAACTGCACCATAATGCGCAACCCACTTTACCCGAAGCACAGACCACATCCCGTGTGAGACAGCTCTGCCACATTCAAATCTCAAAATATCGACCCCTGCTCCCAACAACTGATTGCCCTGCTGGCGCAATGGTAGCGCGCAAGACTTCTAATCTTGAGGCTGCGGGTTCGAGTCCCGCGTGGGGTGCTATGATTTTTGGCCTCTAAGAAAGCTTCTGAGCTCAGGATATGTTTGTTTTACTCTTCTGACTCTCCCTTCTTCTTTTTTGTTCTTGGCTTTGGCTGGAAATACTGATCACCGTGGACCTTGGTTTTTTCAGCCATCACTTACTTGGCCCCTCCTTTGTTTGTCCTTTCTTCGCACGGCAAGCCACATCGCCAAATCGAAGCATCAAAACCCAAACACCAAAGCCGTCAGGGGCAGCCATCAACATCATGATGTCCACAACAGCACATGAGCACAACCAGATGAAAGCCACAAAAAAATCTTCCATTGCATCTCACGAATCCAAAGCCAGACAACAGATCTACAAAATGCAAAATTGTCAAATTTTCAAGACCATTTTCTCGTGACATTCAGGGGCCACCCAGGGGCCTAGGACATGTGCGTGAGCATTTGACCAAGACCCGACAGAATCCAGATGACAATCCACATGCCATCGGTGACAACTGACATCCTCACCGCCAACTTCCAACCCCTCTCCTCCCAAGATCCCACATGTAATGGCGGTCACCTCAGTCTGCCCCTGAGACCCCACATTGCGATGCTGAATAACTTCATTGACTAACTCCATCCTACCTCTATTGTAGGTGGGGCGCCCTTCACCTCAAACACCTCCAAACTGCCTTCCCCCACCATTCTCGCCATGCAATCTCATCAACCCCACCCGCAGCACGCGTAGTCTGAGAACCAGCTCAAGAAGCAAACCCTCATCACTCGAACAATACCCAACTCGAAACACAACCACATGCCAGACAAGTTTACCATCCCTACAAGAAAGAAACCTAAAAGCCTCCCTTCCGCCTCCCAGCCCACCGCACCGGAACAGCATAACTTTTCGCAGCTCCAATAGAAGGAAACGAATCATTCCCCGCGCCCGCCTGGAAACTCATATCCTGCACCTCTAGTTTCAAACTCGGAACCTCTTCAATGTCCACCACAGTGTTGTTGATCTGCGCATCACATCACTGTTAGCTTCGCTCCGTTCACTCTCCAAGGAGGAGCAAAGACTCACCAACACAACCTCAACCTCAATCTCCTCCCTCAAAAACTTAATCGCTTCATCTGGATCCACCGCCTCCAGATTCTTTCCCTCCTTCTTCAGATCCCCCAACGCAAGACTCGCCGACGCGATTCCCGTCCTTGGCATAGCCAGCAACGACATTCGCGCAACGACCGTTCCGTTCAGCACCAGATTGAGCGTCGAAGGGAGTGGGACATCCTTCCTATCCACCTCGATATCAGCAGCGTAGTATCGCGTCTTTCCCTGGTACTGCGGCGGCGGTGACGGCGGTGGCGGGCGACGGTCAATTCCCCGACGACGGTTGGAAGGATTGGCGTTATCAGACGTATCGTAGAGAATGTTGACCTGGGCGCGGACGAACGCAGCAACTTCCTCAGGAGTTTGACTCCAGTCGTCAATCTCCGGGTAGGTATACCCAAAAGTGCGGGTTCCCGTGACAGAGGTGCTCGTGTGGAAGGTGAGGTTTTGGTTGTAGAAGGGCTTCAGGGGGTAGGTGACATTGATCTTGGTAGTGTTGGCGGTGCCAAGCATGCCACTGGTTTTTCCATTTGTGGTCGTGAACATGGCATGCTCGTAGTTGATGGCTTGCCAGAGCGCAACGTATCTGTCGACGTTGGCGTGGTGGAGCATGCTGTGAGAGGTCAGTCTGGCGTCAAGTTTACAGGGGGATTGGCGCTCTCACAACAGCGGGTCAAAGGCAGACCAAGAAATCTGGGAGAGAGTCCCGCCACAACCTGCGTCGTTGTGGATTGTGTTGTGAGGACTCTCAAAACTCGGAGAATGGGACTTGTAGAATGCCATGTCCTCGAACTTGGACGATCTGATAAAGACATCGTACTGCTTGTTGTCAGCCGTTGTCGAATATCGAGCTGTCACAGGTGGCCCATATGCCAAGAACAGAGTAGAGCATGGAATTCGGTGTACGTACTACGCTCCTCGTCAGTCCCGCTTGGGCAGCGCCCAACCTCCCGTCGGCCTCGGTGAGGTTACTGATACCAGAACTGGCACATCTGACAGTCTCTTGAGAAGGCTCATACGGCCAGCCGAGCCCTGACAAAACGGATGGCCGTTGGAAACGGTAGCTGTAAAGTGGATTTCGGAGAGTCACGGGGCCCTCAGGCCCGTTCACAGTGATATTTACAACCTTAGCCGCGTCTGGCAGCAGTGGCTGGAAACCCCAGTCCCAGAACGGGATCCGCAGAGTCTGCGCCGCGGCCTTGTAGGTTGGGGACTGGTTTGGACGATATTGGTTCGCTATTCTCACGGCATGGGAGACAAGGGTTTGCTAGCTACATGTCAGAGATACACAGCTAGGTACACCAGACTCAGGGGCCATACCTCGAACAACGCAAGAAAGGCACGATGCCAAGTGGGAAACAGCAGCTCCTATCGCATGTATTAGGACGTGTCTTCTTCTTGATGAGATGTTTTCTGGCGGTACCATACACCGTGAGGGCAGTACCCTGCGTCGCGCGGCTCTCCAGGGACGTGGCCGACTCCGTTCCACACACTGTGCGGAATACCATGAATGCCTGTCGAGCAGTTAGAACAAGGACTAGCCAGGTTGGGAACATGATTCGTGGTGTTTACCTGATATTGAGTAATAAGATAGCGGGTCGGTCTCATCGACCTGTTGGAACGCCGATAAGGCGAGGATGTAGAGATCCCTGGATGGGAGGACAAGGTCCAAATCAGATAACCACCCCATCTGTCAAACTTCTGTGTCAGATGTATCCAGCCTTACCACTCCGGTCCTCCCACTCCCCAGAATTCGTTGATGTTCCGCCTCGCAGGACGCTGACCAGTCTTGACGTCGATCCCCGTCCGAACGCCAAGAACCGAAATAGGGGCTGCTTGCGCCGTTGCCTCGCGGACCAGAGCCGCGCCCAGGACGCAGGCCAGAACTGCAGCAAACCTTCCCATCTTGGCCACCGAGAGCCGGCCGTGCAGCGGTAGAGTGTCGGGCATGAAGAGGAGCAATGAGAGGCACGCGAGCTGGAGCTGCAGCTACACCGCTAAGCGCCTCAGAGGTTGGGCCTGGGCGAGCAGACGGGGGAAGGCCGGCCCCCTCTGGCATTTTATCGGGCGCGGCGAATCCGGATCGACCGACACATGTGGACATGTGGTCGGGAGGGAAGACCTGAGGGCGGTCCTGCCACGCCCCCGAGCAACGCGAGCTGTAACGATATCACCAACCTTGTGGCCTTTGCGCACAAGCAATTTTCCCTCGGTCTTCTATTCGCATCAGCGAGTTCTCGTGGTCACCGAGACGGTCGGAGAACACAAGAGACGGGAGAAAAAGAACCGATACGAGCGCGACGCGCGACTGGCTGGTGGTTGGTCAGGTCAGTGGCTTAGACGCGACAACTCACTAACCGCTGCCCGCGTCCCAGCTCTTCCATGGCGGACGGCGAAAACCAGCATGCTGTGTCCACGATTCGTAACGCTAATCGCAGCTGTTGCCTCTGCCTCTGCCTTGGCCAGGCCGCTGGACTGGCACCAGAGTGGGGAGCTGCAGGGGAATGTTGTTTCTGCTGCAGCTTTCTCTCGCGCAGCCGCTTGCCGCTGCGGTCCCGACCGTCCTCCCGTCGTCACCCGTCACCTCACCCATCGCCCGGGCTGAGATCCCGCCCGCTGTCAGAGTTTTCCATGTCGAATCTTTTTTTCTTCTCTGGAATCCGTGGGGGGCTGGCGTGGCATGGCCGTGGACAGAATGCGTCGCCGCAGGATGCATGAGGCAGATGGGAGGAGGATGAAATCGATGAGCATGACTAAGACTTAAAAGAGAAAAAAGAAAGGAAACGCTGGAGCCCAACAGGGCACGCCACTCGCATCGTTGCGAGCACACGCGCGCCCAGCGCCGAGGAGCCAGACGCCGGCAGTCGAGCCCGACGGCCCCATCCAACGGGCCCAATCGTGGCTTGCAGCAGGAGGAGCAGGAGCGTCCCAACCGCGAACCTCAACCTCACCTCACCTCATCAAAGCTGAGCAAAATCTTCTTTCTGCGCGGATCGGTTCTTCCTCCTTTCTCCGGAGCTGCCCTGACTCAGACACGCAGGCAACACAAAGCGGCGATATTGGTGACACAGGCACGAAACCCAAGAATTCCATCAGGGAAGAAAATCGAAAGAACCAAGCGCGGTTTGTCCCACATTGGGTGGCCTCTTGCCCACCATCGCTCCTTCCGAGGTTTCTCTCTCCTCCCACGTAGTCACTCGCATCTCCTGCAGCAAGAGCCTCCTCCTTCCTCACCGCCAGATGTATGTAAGGTATCCGGGTATCGTTCCTGCCCCCACGCAAGCACCTGCTCACATCGGATACCCCATCCATCACATTTGTCTTTTGGTTTGTCGACCGACCACACGCCTCTATCGACGCAAGCAATCTGTCACTGTTACCTTACTCCAAATGCTAATTCAATGACACAGAGCCGGCAGACCCAGATCTCAGAAATGACAAACCCGTGCTGCCGCGCGATGCTGCTGCTGCTGCTTCTCCGCTCTGGTTCCAGTCAAGCAGAAGTCCTGCAAGGTCCTGCTGCGATCCACGCTCTCCCATTTCCCTTTTCAACCGGGAGCATCAAGCAATGCATCTGCCCTGCCCCGTGCCGGGTCTCGCATTGCAGCAACCCACGGACGGGAGCTGGAGTAGGTACCGATCTGCGGTGTCCACAGCATGGAAGATACATTACCTTCCCCATCCACGGTACCCAGCGCCCGGCACGTCGACTCGGGCACTGCGCGGCTACCTGCCTACTCCCGGGTAACTCTGCTCTGCGCAACGACGGAGGCATCAACCCGGCCGAAGGAAAAAAAGAAGGGGCGGGGAAGTCCCTCCCTCCCGTCATGTCACGTCACGAGCTGCCCAGCTGAGTTTTTCCCCCTCTTCTCCTCTTCCCCCCACCAGTCACGTCCAACTGACCGCCAACAGCCAGGTCCCTATC